TAATGGAGCAACGGTAAAGTTGTGGCCGTACAGGTTCGTCCCGTGGAAGCAGTCATTAGTATTTGCATTACGGTAGATTATCTACATCACACTCCTTGAGTACGGCCCTTCTCCTGACCCTGTGTAAATGCGAGATGCCACATAATTAAGAGTACATGCCCACCGATAATCGCGGTTTTGCTTGAGCAAAAATTGGCACGGTACATAAATGATTACATCCCGATTTCTCATTGAAGTCATTGCCCGGATAGTTTGGTGGTAAGCTCCAAGAAAATCCTTGAAGTAGCCTAGCAAGTAACATGGTAGTAATTGTAGAACCAAGTTTCACACCCGGACAACCTCGTCGTCCAATACTAAATGAGAACAAGTGTAACTTTGAATCATTGAGATCTACTTCACCACCTTCCTCCTTGAGATGTTGCTCTGGCTTGAACTTCATTGGATCCTCCCAAATCCTAAGGTTTCGACCAAGTCCAAGACGACTTAATAGCACTACACTCCCTTTGGGAATGAAGTATTCACCCACAATAGTATCAGAAATAGACTCATGAGGCACGTTAAAAGGCGTCAAGGGGTGGAGCCGAAAGGCCTCTCTAAGGCAAGCTTTGACATAATTTAGCTGTGGCAAGTCAGATTCTTGAACCAATCTGTTTCTCCCAACGACGGTATCAATCTCTTCTAAGGCCCTTTGCATTATTTGTGGTTCGTTCAACATTTCTTTGATTGTACATTCAACTGTATTTGAGGGATTATCTACCATTGCAAGCATGAGTTCCTGCCAAAATTATTTGTAACAACCAATAATGTAAAACAAAATTACCGTTTTGATTTTTCCCCAGAGAACAAACTTGTGTTTTTGGAATCAAAAATATTTTCCAAAAACAAAAGGATGTAGTTTAAACAGACAATCTCCAGAGTTATTTTTCCAAAAAGACAGACAATCTCAAGAGTCTTGGAACATGTAGTCTTAAACATGTCTTGACATTTTTGTAGCTATAAAAACATGCCAGTAAAGGTAAAATAAAAAATTTAAAGTTAAAATTATTTTCTAAATAATGTATTAAAGCCTATCCAGTCACTAAAGCTATAACATTTGGCAATTCTCATTCATGGAAAGCTCTTCTTCATGTGAGAGACAAAGCAGAAAAAGATATTCTTTGGAATATTAACACAGGGAACTGCAGCTTTTGGTGGGACAACTGGACAGGTAAAGGACCACTTGCTAAAGTGGTTACTCATACTAACACCCCTGGTAAGGTTCAAGTCTCACAATTTTTTAGGAACAATGGGTGGAATATCGACAAATTGGAGCAACTGCTATCCAGTCATATTGTTCAACATGTCATGAATGTTACTAGAGGCAGGCAGAATCATAATGACCTGGTAATTTGGAGTCTTACAGAAAATGGGCACTACTCTAATTCATCGGCTTGGCAGATGATTAGAACTACTAAACAAAAAAAATCCTTGGTTGGCAAAGTTTGGCATGATTGTTTCCCTTTCAAAATGTCCTTTCTTGTTTGGAGAATGATTCAGAAGAAACTGCCCTTTGATGGGAAGTTTGGTAATCAACAAGCTTCAAAGTGCAATTGCTGCAATACTCCACAATTTGAGAGCATGCATCATGTTTACATTGATAGTGAGGCTTTTAGTAACTTACGGAAATTCTTTGGAAATCCTCTGGGAATCCAGCACAAAACTGGTTCCATTAGTAGTATTCTTGCTCAATGGTGGCAGAGGAAACCAAAGAATGTGGTCCATAAGATGATACTACACATCATACCAATTGCTATATGCTAGGAATTGTGGAGAACTTATACTTCTTGTAAATTTGGAGATGGAAAGAAATTTGTTCAGTACAAGATGAAGTGGCAGATTATCAGGAACTCCGATGCTGCGATTAACGGGAAATATCCCTCTCTTACGACTCATAATCTTTGGTATAAAACTGTGAGATGATTGAGCGTCTGAAACCTAGTCCAGTATGGAGAAGTGTGCTATGGGAGATGCCTCGTCAAGGAAAATTGAAATTGAACACCGACGGAAGCTTTAACAAGCATAATGGGAAAGCAGGGATCAGAGAAATTTTAAGAAATGAGGAAGGAGGTTTTGTCATGGCCTTCTCGATACCTATTGACTGTAGTAGCGGCAACGGGGCAAAACTTAAGGCCGTCAAATTTGGTTGTGAATGGTGTATGAACAAAGGAATTACCAACTTCATGGTGGAAATTGACTCTATGATGATTCGGGACATGCTGCAAAACAAAAACTGGACAACAACATTCTGAAAAAAGAGGTTGAAGAGCTCATTGATACACTGGAAAAGAACAATGCATCTGTCAATCATTGCTTTCGTGAAGCAAATCAGGTGGCTGATTGGTTTGCCAAGGAGGGTATTACATCCACTAAAGGCATCATTCACACTGATTTCCGGCAAGTTCCAAGAGCTGCCAAGGGGCCTTTCTTAATGGATATGTGGCAAGTTCCTTGTTTTAGAATTAGATATGAAAAATCAATTTTTTTTGTAAGTTAACTCTCTGTATATTGAGAGAAAGTGGTCTAACAATGTATTTTTTGCCCATAGACTCTTCCTCTTTCATTGTAGAAAAGGCATCCAAGAGGTAAGGTTTTATGTCCTCCTCGGTTGTCCTTTTTTGTTTATATAATAGATAAGGTAGGGGTCTAGCCAAACCCCCCAACAACACAGGAGGTAAGCCTGAGTTATTGGCTTTTAATTAAACAAAATTATATATATAGTAAGTTGTCGTTCTTTAATCTCTTGAACAAAATTGTAATTTGCCATATTGTTCACATATATAGTTTAAGGAATTGAAAGTATACTTACAAGGACTTGCGCCTTAATCTCTTTAACATTCATCAACGGATTTCCATTGGTATCTTTGAGCCTGATGAGAACATCAAGGATGTCTTCTTTCACATGAGCTTTGTTGCTATCTTTCCAAATTTGAAACCTTTGGTCAATTTCATGATCAATCATTTTTGTTGCTTTGGCATAGGCTTTCTTGATAATTGCCTTGTGACCATCTAAATCAAATCCACTTAACCATGGCAAATATTCTGAGATACTAAAAGAATAGAGATGATCAAGAAGTGTGAAGAGTGCTTCAACTTGTTCTTCGTCTTCCTCTTCTACACTTGGTCCTCCATTTTTTTCCGTTATTCTTTTTCCTAGTAATCTCGTGCTGAAAATCATATTCTTAACAACATTTGCACAGTAATATCTGGTCACTTTCCTCAAGTTAATAGTAACAGGTTCGTCGATACTGCAATATTGATTGTATACAAATCGAAGAAGGTGGTCAGCTTCTTCATCCCTTTTATGACGAAGCCATTGATGAGATGATTGTGAGAGGACATGGGAACCAAGAAATCTTCTCATTTTTATCCATTGATCACCAATAGGGAGAAAAACTGAGGTCAAGTAGCCATTGCTAATGAGGGTGGCAGACATGCAAGTACGCCTCGACGAGAAAAGAGAGTCTTGCTCCCTTAAGAATTGGCAAGCAAGCTCAGGAGAAGTGACAACAATGACATGGAAACTCCCAAGACGAATGCAAGCAATTTCAGTTTCCATTTCCTCCATAAGTTTGTGTATCCACTGAGATGTTGGCTTCTTCTTTAGTAGCATTTGAGGAAAGCAGCCAACTATAGGCCATGGTTTTGGACCTGGAGGCAATAATGGCTTTTTGGTTTTCTCGTTTCTTGCACTACTCCATGACTTGCGTGTTATCTTAAGGATTGTGGAAAAGAATATTTTCCATATTATAATAATGGAGACGACAATATGAAAAAGATAAACAAGGTTTGGCAATTTAAAGTTGCTGATCATGATTTTCCTTGTGATTGCTGAAGGCTATGTTTCAAAGGTAGCATCCTATCCACTATTTATGGCTCTTCATGAGCTTGCAGTTTAGTACTTTCAAGTTCTATAAACTACTTTACATATGTAATTACCCCTACTATCTTTTACCATGAAGGGTAGCCTTTGGAACAACGGTAAAATTGGCTCCGTTTGACCTATTGGTCACGGGTTCGAGCTGTGAAAGCAGCCACTAATGCTTTCATTAGGGTAGGCTATCTACATCACATTTCTTAGGGCACGACATTTCCCCGAATCCATGAATGCGGAATGCTTTCTGCATCGGGCTGCCCTTTACTATTTTTACAAAAAGAATTAACCCAAATAGCCGCCTACCTAACCGCTTAAACTAAAAATAGCTGGTGAAGGTTTAATATATGCATAATTTACGAATTATATATGTATGATTGCTTATAATGATCAATGTATAAATTTATATATGTGGCTAGAAAAATATACGATGAATATGGCCAACTATTCGTGTAAAAGATCCCTTTTACAAGGTTATAGTGACTGCACTAATTCAGGAAGATGGGCTCGGTCGTTGAATGCTCTAAAATAAGTATTTTAGCCAAATTGCGTGGGGTAGCCACTTTTTAAAATGGTATTTACTTTTTATCCAGCATTTTTAATGCTGAGCAAAAGTAGCCACTAGTCTATTAAAATTAATACGAAAAGACGGTATTACCCTTTCTTTTATCTCTTTTCTGTTCATGTTCTCTTCCTTGCCAGTCTCTCTCTCCCTTTTCTCCTGAATTGAGTAACGCCCACACATGGCCTCCACCTCCTACATCGCGTTCATATCCCTTCAACTCAACTCAAACTCGATTACTTCACACACTGCAGTAAGCATTCATTAAAGTTTCACTCTTCTTTTCATACTCTCCTTTCTGCACCAACAAAATACACAGTTGGAATTTTGCCCTCCATTCAAGTTAAAGCACAGGTCACTCACTTGGAAACAATATTGTCCTTTGAACCAGAGCAAGAAATATCAGGTAGTAGAACTAATAATGAAAATAGCTCTGTAGAAATATCAGGCAGTAGAACTTATACTGAATTCACGGATAGTCCTGAACTTAGAGTTCCAAGTTCAAAAAATAAGGACATGTAATCCTGAACTTAGAGGTACAAGTTCAAAAGTTAAGGACATGTAGTCTTGATCTTAGAGTTACAAGCTCAAAAACTAAGGACAAGTAGTCTTAACTTAGACTTACAAGCTCATAAATTAAGGACAACTAGTCCTGAACTTACAGTAACAAGCTCATACGTTAAGGACACTTGGTTCTGAACTTAGAGTTGGAAGTTCAAAAACTAAGGACACTTGGTCCTTAACTTAGAGTTACAAGCACAGAAATTAAGGATATGTAGTCCTTAACTTAGAGTTACAAGTACAAAAATTAAGGACATATAGTCTTGAACTTCGAGTTCCAAGTTCAAAAATTAAGGACATGTAGCCTTGAACTTAGAGTTACAAGTCCAAAAGTTAAGGACATGTAGTCCTGAACTTAGAGTTACAAGCTCAAAGAGTAAGGGCAGGTAGTCCTAACTTAGACTACAAGCTCATAAATTAAGGACACTTGGTCCTGAACTTTATGAGCAGAAGAGTATTTTTGTCCGGGTAGGTAAACGTTTATTAAAACAGTGGCTAAAAACTAAAGACATTTTAAACAATAGCTTAAAAATAAATACACGTCTTATTACTGTGCACTTCGCCCTCAAATACACTTGAATAGAACAAAGCCCCAATTATTAGAAAAGGGACTAGTTGCAATGCCCCCATTAATGATACGACACGTTCCTCGGCAATAAAGATATTTTACTTATTAGGATGCTTAGTTCCTTCAAAATTAGGGATAAAGTACTCCTTCAGCAACCAAAGAGATTTTCATTTTTTTCGAGTTTAATCTAATAAACCTCTCATTAAAGAAACTTTAAACTTTTTACTGTACATTTTGTTGGTCTCGGCTAATTCACACGTGAATCATATAGGCTCTCAAGTCATTGGCTCCGTACTCCGAAAAGCTAGTAGTGGTCTGGATGATACTTTCATGAAATTGGGACCTCCGATTTGTGGCTCTTAGACTCTAGTCATTACCACACGCCACTAAACGTGGAAAAATATCCAAAGAGATATTATTCTTATTAGTTCCATATAACAGCGTATCCCGCTAGTGATATTGTCCGCTCTAGGCCTAGATCTTCATGGGTATAAAACGTATCACTTTGGATCTAAGGCTTATTAACTTATATATACTCATCAATCCTCTTTTGTTTTGACGATGTAGGACTCTGTCTAAAGTTTGGGGTACTATATTCCAAGGATAGGATCATGATTATTACTAAGATAAATTCAAAAAGGTACAAGGCCGCATAAAAAGAAGCTATGGCGTTCTTTTTTATGATCTAGTGAACACATTTTATAGTTAAGCTAAATTTATAGGGAAATTACCAGCTATGTCTATTTATAGGTAGCTCATTACAAAAATTGGCCAATTGATAAAATATTACTAATATTAGCCAAATTTTGCTTTGTTTTGAGTGGGTGTTATTAGAATAGATTGGGCACAACTTAAGGAGCTTGAATCTCAGTTTTGGGATGATTTGGTGAAGTTTTGAGGTGGTTTGTATTGAAAATTCGAAGTAAAAGCTGAACATGAAAAAAATTATGTGTATCACGCTGTGTATCATTTGTGTATCACATATGTATCATATTTGTATCAATTGTGTATCACATGTATATCCATGTATACCTGTGTGTGAGATACATGCGTGATACATGTTTGATACATGTGTCGCAGAAGACTTTTTTGAACTCGATTTAATTATGAATTTTGATACAATACCACTCAAAGTCACCTCCAATCTTCCTCAAATTTTGTATATTGACTTATCTATATATTTTCAATGAATTTCAACTATACCCATTGAAAAAGTTCCTTTTTTCTTTAGATTTTTGGAATTTTTGTATAGATTTTTGTATTTCATCACCTTATTTGCTACACCGTCCATGAAATTTCTTTTCCGTCTTGTATCTAATGTTGCTAATCACACTTAAAAATATGGAAGGTGATTTTTGCATGTGATTCTTTGAGAGAAAGAACCCTATTATTTGGTTTTTCAATTTTTGTTGGCTAGTTTTGGTAAGTCTATGACTAATGGCTAGAGGT